TGTTCCAGGGACCCCGCACCGGGACGTGCCCCCTGTTCCAGGGAAGCTTTAACCCACACCGGATCCACACCTCACTGCCACCCGGCAGGGTCACTGGGTACCGAAGCCAACCCAACAGGAGCTTCAGGCAACGGGGAAATAAAATAAACACACAGCACAGGACTAAGCTTTGTCAACTTCAACTTTAATTATGGAACCATCACATTTTTTATTTTTATTTTTTTTGCCATTTCAGTAATAACTTTAAGGGGAATAAAAACTTCCCTACAAAAATAAAACTAAGCTTGTCAAAATTATAAATAGTTTGTGTCGTGGTGGGTTTTTTAAAAGACATAGAGGTTAATGTTTCCTTGTTTCCACACCCCCCCCCCCCCCTCCGCAAACTACTTAGACATCATATAATGAAAGGAACAGTTTGACAGTTCAATTTGATACTGAAATGTAACAAAGAGAAGACCTGACTAGGCATCACCATTTCCTTTAAATTAAACCTATTGTAACTGCCAGTGTGTAAAAAAAAAAAAAAGAAAAAAAAGAAATCCACACATGACACCTCACAATAACTAACCACAGACTAAGACAAAATTAAAATGTTTATTTTGGTCCCCCACCCAACCCCCTCCCCCTTCACCCCAAATCAAGACTCATAGTGCATACAACACTGATTGAGGTTTTTGGCTAAGGTAAATGCAGATGTGCCCACATAACATACTGATAGTTCAAGTAAAAACAAGATTCACATATTTTTCTACTCCACTTTTGAACTCAAACAGTGTTTAAATCTGAGCAACAAATGGTTCAATATTGACAGAGATTACGTAATGATTACATAGCTATGGGCAGATACATAAATTAAGTAGATGTTAGCAGAATACCCACCAACATGCTGCTGCATTCATAGAAAAATAAATTGTAACAAAACAAAGCATTCCCTGAACCATTATAAAGTGTCTCACTTGAAGATAATGTTACTAACTCACACATGCACTACAATGTTACATGTGAAATTAAAAAACAAACGAGATATGTCATATATATTTTATAGTTAGTCCTACTCTTAATTTATCTTAACACTTTAAAACATTATGATTGTCTCATTAAGCTTGCAAATTATTTTTACAAACAAACAAACAAAAACAACCCCAAAACAAAAAACTGTGAAGAGTTAAAAAGTCTTACTAAGTAAAGGAAACAAAGGCACAACTACATCGAACTTCGGGGAAGAACTGAAGCATCTTGGAGTTTCGCACAGTATCCATTAGATGTCACTAAAGTTTTAACAATTACTTGGGAATTTAAAACGAACACCCTAAGAGTGGGGGGGAAAAAATCCCTACCGACTTCTGCTGCTCTTAAATCCTTAGCAATTCTCCACGCCCCTTTCCCACCCTCCCCCCCCGCCCTTCCCAATATATAACTCATTTCCTCTCTGGAGTGATAATGACTGAAGTATCAGTTACTCAAATCTGCCTCATGCTTCTATTGCACACCCACTTCTTTGGTTTCTTTTGAACATGCTTTTTTAGATAAATAACTCTGAAAGAAGAATTGTATTTACAATAAAGTAATTTCTTTTCTTGCTACATTTTTCCTACTTTTAAATCAAGTAAATCAGCAGTCTGCAGAATTTGTAATCAGTTTTTCAATTAAGAATTTAAAAGGAATAAGGAAATAACCTTCTGAATTACTAAAAGCAAGAGTTCCTAAGCTCAGTCAGCAACAGAGCCAATAAATGTTAAAACTTCCTGCTAAGCAGCTGGAAACACGAGTAAGAAATTCTGCTTTCTTTGTCTGACTGAGCCTTTACCAAACGAAGAAGCAGAGGAAGCTATTTTTGTCTTTCAGATATAGTAATTCAAAATTATGCAGCCTAAAAATGGATCACCGAGCCAGAGGAGAGATCTGACTTGCAATGAAGACCAAACACATCTCCGGTTATAGCTTATGTTTAAACAGTTGTAGATAGGCATTCCTCACAGACTTATCTGAGACATTGTCCACTTTTCAGAATTCAAGTAAGCAGCCACCTTTTAGCTTTGCTGCACTTTTCAACCCCCCAATTACACATTTATGGAACCAGCTTCTGCAATAATGACTCGTATGTGCAGCTCCACTTCCATTTTTATACAGCTTTTGCCTCTCATTCTTTCCCCTTTTTTCTATCATCTTTATTTATTTTCCAGTGTGGATTTATGCAGTTAAAAAAAACCTGTAAAACTTAATCACAATAACATCCTCAAACTTTAACCTTGTAGAATTAGCATTTCACCTCTCCTCTGTATAAATACTATTTCCATTTAAAACCAGTCCTCTGACAGCTGTTCTGACAGAGTTCTCCTTCCTCAACTCTTAACCTTCTTTTCAACTTTCTCTTTACCTTCTCCAGAAAAAAACACTTTAAAACCTTCCACAGATTTCACAGAACAGACCAGCAGATCTCATATGCCTTCCATCTATAACAGTTCTCCCACAAATTATACAGTAACTATTTGAAAACAGAAAGGTAGTGCAAATCAATTCCATCTCAAAGATAGTGCTCCAACTAATTATTGTCCAGACAGTTTAATTCATTTTTTAACCCATCAATTTGCACATCCTTACTTGTAAAGCTACCATTAAAGCAAAGAAGAAAAATAAAATAAAATCTTATTTCATAGCATCCTAGAAAATGGATTACAGTTTCACAGCTTGCACCAAGATAACTTGGAAAACTCCCTAGGCACACAGAGGGTTGCAAACTGATGTACAAACATGCAGAATCCCTTACTTATGGGTGCAAGATGCTAAGTGACCCGGCTTATGGAACTAAGTCTATAGCAAAATTCAGGTACCCTGGCATCACAAAACAGTCTTCCAAACAAAGAAAACTACTCTCTGCTGCTCTTTGTACATTGGGTTTGGCATGCTATACTGACATTCGGTAGCGTGCGTTTTCCTGAGTGTCCTTTGGCCCCCTTTTAACCAGGTTTCCACACCCCACCAAGGGCTTCTTCAAGTCTTTCTCTGTAAGTCGCGTAACGCTTCTTTAAGATTTGCAGTTGCTCATTTTCTTCTTTGTCCAGTATACGCAAGAAGTTTTTCAGTTCAGGAATACTAAAAGCTTCCCACTGGAAAGAAAAAAGGATGGACAAGATTAACAGAAAGTACACAAATTATTTATATACACAGTAGTTTTAAGTAAAACCTCAAATTCAAACTGGAACAGCATCAGGCCCCTTCCTTGCAAATCTTAGGGATCTGAAAACATTTTCCTATTTTAAACTGGGTTTTGTTCTGCAAGCAACAACCGCTCAGTGTAACCACAAATCACATGTTTACAAAAGGCTCAAAGTAAATATAAGAAGAAAAAAATCTGCTTCCAAAAAATGGATTGTCCTGTCAACACAGATCAAACAGGAGCCCCTTCATCCGTGGAGTTAAACACACACAAAACCAGCATGAGTGTAACATACCATGACTTCTCCAGTTTCATGCTCGCGTAGAACAAAACTGAGCATTTCTGTTCTGGGACCTGCCACCAAACGCAGGTAGAGGGGATGTTCTCGGTCTGACAGCTTGCAGGTATAAACTGAAGGAGAAGAAAATGACAGTAATTGTCATCTTTCCTAACAAAGTTTTGGGTGCTTTGAATGATGAACAGTGGCTCATGTTAGAAAATTTCAGAGACAGGCAAGCACAGCCAGAAAACATATATATTCTACATACTGTCTACATGTTAGTCTACATACTGGTTTTGAACAAATGAGTTTTTAGGGAGGAGCTGAGCAGATCAGATGACTGAGGGTATCAGGGCAACACTACATTCACACAGGAATGAAATGTCCTCCAGTCAACACAGTGCACCATCTGAATACACACAAAAAAATACAACGTGGGCCTGGTGCTATAACTAAGCACTTAAGACATCAGTGCTGTGGTATCACTATTCTGATACCTTTTCCACTGAAAATCTCACACATGAAGCCTAAGAGACAACTCCGCCTGCCTGACACTTCTGGTGTGACTGACAGTCAGAAACATCTGAACATTTCAGTTCTCAATATCCATAGAAGAAGGCAGAACCTAAGTGCAAGAACACCACGTTGGCAAAATGTAGTTTCCACTACGAATACCTTTTGCACCTTCTGCTATTTCCAAATGCAACATCCAAAGAAACTTCCAACTGCAGTCTCTGCACTGGAAGAACCATGTGCACTAACTCCCATCAACACAGTGCATGCCTGTGCCCATGATCACATCCCTTCAACAGCTCTCTGCCAATGCAAAGGACTTCAGGTATCAGAGACACCACAACCTCTCTTTTAAAAAATACATCCTGTAATTTTATCTCACAAATCTGCAGTCTATCATGCTATCTGAAATATAGAGCTTGAATAAGGGGCATCTTCAATAAAATATAATGGACTGCGAGGCATAGGAGATCTGTGTAGATGGTTTAGTGGGTTCTCTAGTCTTTTGTGAATTATCCTGATATATTCCCAAGTCATTTACTCTCTTACCCATGCTACTTTTCAAAAATAAAGACGAGAGAGCGAGATTCTAACCTCCATTTATCTGAGCTCTTCCACCCTGCTTATTTAAGTATTCCTACAGCACAGCTCCCTCCCCAGGCCCCTGAAGCTACCAAAATGCCATAAGCCTAACTTATACCTTGGTCTTCCTTGTGACAGCGTTTATAAAGTGCAAACTTGGCAGGGTTGTCAGCCACCAAAAACTTTTTGAGCAAAGCCTCAATTACTTCACGAACAGTATTGGTGCTGCTGATGTGAAGGGTATTGATGCAGCCATCCGGCAAGTAAAAGGCAGTTTGGTTATTGCTGGGAGCACATCTCCCCTGGCTCTGGGAAGACTGCACAGTGATTGGTCTGCATAGTTCCATCTGAACTTTGATGAAGCCAGTGTAAATCCCATTTGCGTTCTGCAACAGAAGGGAAGTGTCGGACTGTTAAAAGTAGCAATGACCAGTTGTGACAAACCAGTGGAGCAGGCAGGTTAAAATGGGCATGGTGAACACAAATTAAATGTCACTGTAATACATGATGTGTCCTAGGAAATACACTGTTTCAATAATCAGAGATTTATTCTTTCTGGTCTATCTGCTTCTGAACAATATCTACTGAATAATACCTACTTTCTTAATAATACCTACTGAATTTTAAGAGTATTAGGCTCTCATCAAGCAAATTGCTAAGTTTTCACATTAGAAGAGAACTATGAAGGCCACTAACACACATCTTTAACAACAGATTTTATGCAGAAATACAGAAACTATCTCCCACATTTTAGCAGTGCTTGTCAATTAGTCAAAGGCATTTAGGTGCTCACATCCCATTGCAATTAAAGGAAGCAGAATAAATGCCAATCTAATCAACTTTTCAAAGTATTTATCCCAGTTGCTTCTGAAAGACAAAATAAGAAAATGGATTAAAACTTACTGAGCCAGAAAACATCAGGCAATTTGCTTTTAGGCATATTGACTCCTGACCCACATGCAAAAGCATAACAAAATCTTTTTAGTACACAGTCATATGGTTTAGCATAGGATGGAATTTCAAAATTTCCATATACTATACACCTACCGGAATATGTAATGTATCAGAAAAATCTGGACAATGCAATGTCTGAGTAAGAGCTTGCTTAGCAGACAGATGTGAATTTTGTTAGTAGGCTGGACTTGATTTTAGATCAGGTCCACAATTCTTGGAAATAAAAAGTCTAGATGCATTCCATTATCCACGTTAGGAGGG